CAAAGAACTTCTCAGGTGGGAGCTGATCCATGGTGACCATCCTCCATGAAGTCAAGTCACAGATTCAGTTCCTGTTAACCTCAAAAAGATCTAGTTAGTAAGCTAGTAAAGAACGGCCACCTGGGTTAATAATTTCTTCTGTAACTATTCTGTGTACAGTGTGAGCAAAAGTCATTATGTTCTAGCAATCATGTGAAAAAGAATCATTGTATTCTAATGTCCAGGTGCAAGCTATGCAGTTCAGGTTACAAGAGTAAAAAAAAAAAACTTTTTAATTTAGAAGTTTAACAAAATGGAGTCACTTCTGTTCAGCCTGGTTACACTGGTACCAAGTAACATCAGGTAGCCTTAGAACCTGGACAGAATGCATAGAGCAGTTACGCAAGAACTCTGAAAAGCAAATAGTAGCAGCCAGATTGGGGAAGAAACCAGAATATGGAGTGCCTCTGACAGTGAGTTTACCTCCTTTTTTTTTTTTTTTTTTGCCACATGGTATCCCCCAGCCTTGACTCAGGCAGTCAAAAATCCAGAAGTGAGCTTTTCCTCCAGGAAAAGCCTCTATTTCAGGCTGAAGAAGTTGGAAGGGGCCTTCTGAGAGGCAGCAGACACACAAAACCATAAGGGAGGGACAGCTTCTTTCTGATCAGAGGAGCAGTTGTCCCAAAAGTGTGAGTAAACCTCTGATACTTTTTTCTCTCTGTCCTCCAACCAATTGGCCCCAGATGCAGGTGCAGTAGTTGTGGGAAATGTGTGTCAGAGAGGGGTAAATAGAGCCCCCGATTTCTGGCTGGAAAACCAAAATGGAGAGCCTCAGGGAAATAGAAAGTACCAGGGAGATGGTGGTGGAGGAGCTCAGGACAGTGAATTCATAAAATTGTGAATGCCTAGCCTCATCCCTGAGCATCGCATACATAGATCTGACCCTAAGTAGTGTACCATAAACTTTGAGAACTGAACTAAGAAACATACCATGGCCCAGGTCCCAGAATGGCCACTGGGTGACACACATGCAGGACTGACCATCTCAGCCTAAGAAAGGCTTTGAAAACCAAACAGACATTGAAACCACAATCTATAGAGGGTTTGTCAGAATTTGTGGTCTGAACTCAACCCAGGCAATTGCTTGCTTAAAAAGAAACTCTCCATGAAATTCAAAAAAACTCCAGTCTCATAATGTTCAAAATATTCAGGATATTTGGCCTATGAAGAACGAGGTGCTCCCTTCGGCAGCACACATACTAAAATTGGAACAATACAGAGATCATCGAGGCTCCTGGGCAAGGATGACACACAAATTTGTGAAGTGTTCCATATTTTAAAATAAAAGTTTACATTATTAAAAAAAAAAAAAAAAACAGTCGGGCTGGCCTGGTGGCGCACTGGAGAGTGCGCCGCTTGGGAGCACGGCGGCGCTTCTGCCGAGGGTTCAGATCCCATGTGGAGACCGGTTCCCGCTCACTGGCTGAGCGCGGTGCGGGCGCAACACCGAGGGTTGCGATCCCGTTGCCGGTCAGTAAAAAAGACAAAAAGGAAAAAAAAAAGAAAGAAAAGAACCAGGAAAATCTCAACGCAGCCAATGCTGAGATGACACGATGATGAAATGATCTAACCAAGATTTTAAAGCAGCTATTATATAAGTTCTCCAAAAGTTAGGATGGACCCTCTTGAAGACTTTCTATCTATGAAAGATACCAAGTCTCAGAAAAGGTATGAAGAAGAATGAAATGGAAATTTTACAACTGAAAAACACATTAACCAAAAGTTTAAAAACTGACTGGATGTGCTCAGTAAGGCAGAATGGAGATGACAGAAAAAGAATCAATGCACTTGAAGATAGATTGATTAAAAGTATCTAAACAATGGGCTGGCCCGGTGGCGCACTGCTACAGTGCGCCGCTTGGGAGTGCGGTGGCGCTCCCGCCGAGGGTTCGGATCCCACATGCGGACCGGTTCCTGCTCACTGGCTGAGCGAGGCGCGGGGGCAACACCGAGGGCTGCGATCCCATTGCCGGTCCTGGTCCGGTATGGGGGCGACACTGAGGGTTGCGATCTGTTGCCGGACACGAAAAAAGACAAAAAAAAAAGTATCTAAACAACACAGTCTACAAGCGGGCGGGTAGAAGTGTGTCCCACTGGCAGAGGGTGTAGTGAGGCATTGGCTACGAGACCACACTGAGCCGAGCTTTCAGCAGGCTTGCCTCTGTGCTGTAGGGGACATTTGTGCCACCATCTGCGGTTGCCCGTCGGTGCCTGCATTTGTAGGGGTCGCAGCCTGTGGCAGGCCGGAGCAAGAGGGCAGAGGAGCCGCCCTGTACCTTCAACTGGTGCTGCTGGAGTTCCTGGTGTGCCCATTCTCCAAGAAGCCTCTCAGATATGAAGCATTGACAAATGAATTGAAGAGTTGGGAATAGCCTATCCAATCATTGGTGGGATTCCTAATATGACATCACAGGCAGCTAGGATGAATTATCAAAGCAAGAAGAAGAAATGGAACAGGGCTACATCATAATTTTAATAAAAACAAACGACTTTCTTTTTTTTTTTTTTTTTAAGAAAATGTAATTTTTTTTTCCTGCCTTGGGTTTATTCATACAAACACAGGATTCCTAATATGACATCACAGGCAGCTAGGATGAATTATCAAAGCAAGAAGAAGAAATGGAACAGGGCTACATCATAATTTTAATAAAAACAAACGACTTTCTTTTTTTTTTTTTTTTTAAGAAAATGTAATTTTTTTTTCCTGCCTTGGGTTTATTCATACAAACACAGGAGGACACCAGCCCCATGCAGACAACAGCCCAGGGGTCACACCAGTCCTTCTGTCCTCACATTGGCAGACAGAGGCCTCTACTCCAGAGCCTTTGTGGGGGCCTGGGCACCTTTTGAGCCTGACCTAGAGCTGCTGCAGCTGAAGCCACATCCTGGGCCTTGGTTTGAGCCTTGGCCTTGGCCTTTGGCCAACAGAGCCTGAGACCCTTGACAATGTGGGCACAAGCACGCTTCCCAAGCTTGGGTTGGGCAGTGTAGGCAAGTTGATCAAGCTTATGGCTGGCGCCCTTTGGGATCCTGGGCTTGACCTCCTTGGGCTTTACAAGGGCCTTAATAGCCTCAGCACGTCCACTCATGGCCTTGGCATTGTTGGCCTGCATTTTCTTCATGCCCTTCTTGTGCTTCTTGGCAAAGCACATGTTCCTCAGGAACTTGGGGTCTACCCCCTTAAGGGATTCATATCTTTGTGATTGAGCTTTCTTAATGCCATTTCTGTGCCATTTCTGGGATTGGTTGTGTGTGGTGTGGTTCTTGGACTTGGCCATGTCTGCATAGTAACCCATGGCTGCCGAAGTGCCTGGGACTGGAAGAGAAAATTAATATTATTCTTTCACATTTAGGATGTGTTGCAAAGCCGTTGGGAGGGAGGGGGAGAGGGGAAAGGGGAAAGAAATGTGATGGAAGAAGGAAGAAGGAGAAGGGGCGGGATTGAGGCCTGTGGCACCCCCCTCATTTCCACAGGAGAGACCGGGGGGCCTCCAGTGGTGGCTTGGTTATTGCCAGGCTGGGTGCAGATGTCAGGGGGGCATGGCAAAAGCCACAGGAATCTGGGTCCCTCCTTGCTGCAGCTTGGTGGTCATTGCTGGGCTGGATTTTGGTGTCTGTGGGGTATTGCCAAGGCCCAAGACCCACCACTACCCTGGCTCAGGAGAGCCTGGGGTGCTTTCTGCAGCAGCTCAGTGGTCATTGCTGGGCTGGTTGCGGGTGTTGGGGAGGCATGGCTGAGGCTCTTGTCCCCCCACTGCCCTGGCTCAGGAGAGCCTAGGGCTCTTCCTGAGTCAGCTTGGTGGTCACCACTGGGCTGACTGTGTGTGTTGGGGGGTGTGGCTAGGGCCTGAGGCTCCCTACTGCCCCGGCTTGGGAAAGCCCAGGGCACTTTCTGCAGTGGCTTGGTGGCCATTGCTGGGGTAATTGCACATGTTAGGGGTGTGTGGGCAAGGCCCTCATCCCCCACCCTCAGAACTAGTTGCAGATGTCGGGGGGCATTGCTAAGGCCCCCGGCCCAAGCCCTTTCTGGCTTGGTAGCCCAGGGGACATCCAGTCCTTCTAGGTGTTATAGGCATTCTTTGGTGAAATGAGACCTTTACTAGTTAATATCAAACTTTGTCTCTGGTTGTGGGTACTTTGTTTTTTCTTTCAGTTCTGTGTTGGATTATTTGCTCTTCCCACCACCTAACCTCTGCACTGGAACTAATTTGTTGTCCTTTGCTTACTTCTAAAATGGGGGAACTTCCTGTGGGGACTAGTACTTGAGCTCTGTGGCTTAGCTAAATTGCTGTTTTGCTGCTGATTCCCTAGGGAAGGCTTTTTGTGCAGCTCAGGTTTTAATGGTTGACTTTATAGGTGCTTCCGGGTCTAGTGAAATCTGGTGCACCTGGGTTGTATAGAAACTCTGGTCTGGGCTTTAGTCCTTTCATCAAACTGCACCCCATGCAATTCTACATTCCTTACCAGTCTCGTCTAAGTGGTCCTATGCTGACTGGGGGGCAGATCAGCTGTCCTTGCTGTGTCCCAGTGTTCCCCTGGTGGGCACATCTCCCCCACTGCCCGTGCTGCAAACACTTCACATGGCATGGGCTGTGCACAGGTCCCTTGCAATGACTCACCAGCCTCTGAGTGGCTCATTTTTTCTTCAGTTGTTGTGGCTCCTCATTCCTATGTGGGTCCACAGGAAACCTGTTAGTGGTCTTGCTGGCCTGGGGGCCACAAGAAGTCTCTTGCTGTCTCCAAGTAATTTCGCCCAAAGGGCACAGCTATGGCTTTTGCCAGCTCCTGCTCCATGCACTCAGTAGCTCCAGCCTGGAAGTGACTGGGGCTTGAAAGGGTCAGAGCAGTTTTTTCTTCCTCTCATCGTGGCTTCTCGCACCTTCATGCACCCCGTAGGTGTCTCCTCCTCTTCCCCTGAGCTCTAGCAGCCCCAACTTGGCTGTTGTTGCTTTTTTATAGTTGTAAATTGGTTGATTTGTGGGAGAGAGTGATACTGGGGACCATCTATTCCGCTATCTTGACCGGAAGTTTAGACTTTCTTAATACCATATACCTTTTAAAATAGGGTGGTGGATAATAAGCGAGGGAGAAGAATGTTTCTGTCTCTTCCTACGTTGACTATTGTTATTCTACTGGTCTCTTTAGCAGGACTGTTGTACTCAGCCTCTGTGGAAAAAAACTTCCCACAGAGCTGTATTAGCACAATCAGCCTTTGCTTTTACAGTCTGCTCTTGCCAATTGCTGTGCCAGTGTATGTGTTCTTCCACCTTTGGACTTGGATGGGTATTAAACTCTTCAGGCATAATTAATGCAACCAGAGCCAAGACCATACGTGTATTAATGATATATGTCTTGGGCATCTATCTCTGAAAGCTCAACTACATGGAAATACTAAAGACCCATTTAGTTTGCAGGAAAGCTGCTTTGCCTTGCTTATGCCAGACTTAGGACTATGGGAAGTTTAACCTGCAGAAAATTCTTTTATTGTACTCTTATTCTGCCCTTGTTTTTTGAAAGTTCTGACTTGTAACTGATGTATCAGAAGAAATATTTCAACAAAGTGTCTTCTCCAAGAATTAACACCCCAAATCATCATGTGATCACTATTCTTATTCCATTCATCTAAAAGTCATTTGGAATTTTATTTGTTTAGCCTCAAAGGTCCTTTCATAAAGTCAGATGTTAGGGATGACTAAAACAATTCCAAAGGAGCTATGTTGGTATAGTTGTAGAGAGATACATGTGGACTAATGTGATATAAAACCATATAATAAAATGGAAATTTCGTGTACTTAAAAAAAACACAAAAATAAACAACACATGCCATGAGCCATCCTGCCATAGGGAATGGCATGGGAGCCTGAGTGATACCCCTTGTTCTGCAGACTACAAAGGGGTTCCATGTGTGTGGGATGGCTCCATGGAAGTTCTTGTTTGTTCACCTTTGGTTGCTTGACAAGGCTTCCCAGAATTAAGCAGCCTAACCTTTTGTCTTAGTATGGCTTTGGGAAATTCCCTGGAGTTTCTCAAAGGACATGTTAAAATACATAAAAATTAATTGGTTTATTTAAAAGGCATTGTTAGTACTAAAGGTGTTTTTGATGCATGTTCCTGGTATGGGTTGGCTCCATTTAATTTTGTTATTAATCTTCCTTGTTAGTGATATGTGCATTAACCCATTGTGGCTGTGGTCAGGCTCTTGTATGTGTGGAATGAAATTATTATGTTGGATTTCTATCCACATCCCCCAGGGAGGTGGTGGGTCCGAGTGCTATGGAGTTTACAATTATTTGATCATTAACCAGTTACAGATTTCTTTGTCTTCCACATTCCCACAGTTTCACTTGACTTACCAAGAATATGTTGTTTCCCTAGTAATAATAAGAATGATCTAATGTGTTTTTGTTAGTTTGAGTAGGATCATTTAACTTTTTACTTTGTCCCCTGTGCTGTTCCCAGAGTCTATTGGCAGGGAAATAAAAGGTATAAACATTGTGATTTTGATTACAAATTAAAATGATCAATATAGGGTATAAGCAATATTAAATTATTAACCATAACTAATCAATGTTATTAAAATTAAGAGTAGTAAGTACATATTAAATTGTTAACCTTAACTAATCAATGTTATTAAAATTAAGAGTAGTAAGTACAAGTAAGATTTAAAAAGGGTTAAATTGTAAGTTAAGAAGGTTAAGAATTATAGTTTAAACTAGAAGCCTGACGCTCTTTAATGCCAAGCATGCTGCTATTGTATAGTTTCCTGGCCACAAGCCACAGGCTTTGGGGTGAACTATTGATGCATGAGAGGGTGCTTTTATCACAGCATGAGTGCTTGGGAACATTCTGATTTTTCTTTTTCTATATAGATAAAATAATAAATGTTTTGATTTAAAGAGAAATCATCATGTAAAAAGTTAAGTTAAAAATATAAATAAAGCAAGATTCTTGTGGTTGTTGTCCACACTTGCACTAGACATCTGTGGTCCATCTCTTTCCTCGCCGACGCCACACCGCCTGGTTCAGGTCCAACAAATCCTGCAGAGCTGGTCTCCGGCAAACACAGAAGGAAAAAGATTGAAAAAAATGAATAGAACCTCAGGGATTTGTGGGACCATAAGAAAGACCTAATTATGTCAGAGAGAGGAGGCAGTGTACTGTGGAAAACATGCTTGAAGGAATAAGAGAAGAAAATTTCCCAAATCTGGGGAAAAACAAAATAACAGTTTCAAGAAGCTCTGCAAACCCCAAGTTAGATAAATCCAAAGAAATCCATGCCCAGACACATTATAATCAAACTACTAAAACTAAAAACAAAAAATTGAGAGCATCCAGGAAAAAAATAACACATTACTTTTAGGGGAACAATGAATCAATTGACTGTGAACTTTGCAGCAGAAGCCATGGAAGCCAGAAGGAAACAATATAGTTAGATTTCTACATTCTGCTTAAATGATAATATATTATTTCTTGTTATTTCTGAGCAAAAAGTTAAGGACATCTATTTTAATCCCTTGAGCAATGACTAAAAACTAGACAAAGATAAATAGTAACAACGAAATAAGTAAAATAAAACACACACACAAAGAATGTTCAAAGAACTCAGAAGAAGTCAGGAAAGGAGAAACAAAGAAAAAAAACAAATAATAAAAGAGAGGGCCTGAATATAAACATTTCAATAATTACATTTAATATAAATAATCTAAGCACACCAATTAAGACACAGATGTCAGAAAGGATAAAAATGTATGACCCAACTATGTCTTGTACAAAAGAAAATCACCTTAAATATTATATGCATACATTAAAAGTAAAATGACTGAAAAAGATATACCATGAAAACACTAACCAAAAGAAAGCCAGGGTGACTATATTAACATCAAACAAAGTAGACATTAAAGCAAAGAAAATTACCAGGGATACACTACAATGATGAAAAGAGTCAACTCATCAAGAATATAACAAACTTAAATGTGCACACATGCAAAACAGAATTTCAAAACACATGAGGCAAAAACTGACAGAACTGAAAGTAGAAATAGACCAATCCACAGTTATAGTTGGAGACTTCAAAATGCCTTTTTTAGTAAACTGCAGAATTAGTGAACAGAAAATCAGCAAGGATATAGAAGAACTGTACAAAACCATCTACTAACTAGATCTAAGTGACACTTATAGAATACTCTGCCCAACAATGGCAGAATTAACACTTTTTCAAGTGCACATGGGACATTCACCAGGATAAAGCATATTCTAGGTCATAAAACACACTTTAACAAATTTAAGATAATTGAAACAGATTATGTAAGCTTTCTACCCTAAGAAACTAGAAAAATAAGAGGAAAGGAAACCTAAAACAAGCAGAAGGAAGGAAATCATAAAGAGCAGAAATAAATTAAATTTTTAAAAATACTGAAAATCAATGAAACCAAAACGTGTTTCTTTAAAAAGATGAATAAAATTGAAAAACTTCTAGTAAGACTGACAAAGAAAAAAAGAGGACACAAATTACCAATATTAAAAATGAAATGAGATATCACTACAGAACCAACAGAAATTAAAAGAATATGGAGTACTCCGAACAACTCTACATATGTAATTTGAACAACTTTAATGAAATGGAGCAATTCTTTGACAACCACAACTACCAGAACTCACTCAAGATGAAATGGATAACTTTAGTAGTACTATAATAATTAAATTGAATTCATAATTTTAACAAAACTTGTGAAAAATAAATTTCTAGGCTCAGATGTGTGCTGAAAACTACAAAACACTATTGAAAGAAATCAGAAAATATCTAAAAACTGGAGAGCTACACAATGTTAATGGATTGGAAGACTCAAGTAGTAAGATATCAGTTCTTCCAAAATTGCTCTCAGATTTAATGCAATTCTGATCAAAATCCTAAAAGGGTTTTTGCAGCTATAGATAAGCTGCTTCCAAAATTTATATAAAAGGCAAAGGATCTAGAATGGCCAATATAATTTATAAAAAGAAAAGTATACCAGCCAGCTACCAAAAAAAAAAAAGAGAGAGAGAGAGAGAAAGAAAGTTGGAGAAATATACTACCTGATTTTTTAATATATAACTTTATCAAAACATATTTGCGTATCATATAATTCACCCATTTCAAGTACACCATTCAGTAATTCTTAAATATATTTACCAAGTTATACAACCTTTTGCTACCTAACTTTAAGACTTATCATAAAGCCACAATAATCAAGGCAGTGTGGTATGTGTCAGCAAAAGGACAGACACATAGATTGATGAAACAGAACAAAGAGGCTGGAAATAGACCCACACAAATTCAACCAATTGATTTCTGGCAAAGGTGCAAAGGAAATTTAATGAGATATAGTCTTTTCAACAAATAGAATGTTGAAACAATTAATTTTCATAGTTTTAAAAACTTCAAACTTGGGCCGAGCCCGTGGGGCACTCGGGAGAGTGCAGCGCTGGGAGCGCAGCAGCGCTCCTGCCGTGGGTTTGGATCCTATATAGGGATGACTGGTGCACTCACAGTGCTCACTGGCTGAGTGCAGTGCGGCTGGTCTCAAAAAGGACAAAAAAAACAAAAAAACAAAAAAACAAAAAACCCCCTGTATTTGTAGGGCATATAAACTGGGACCCTTTGGGTAGTCACCATCAAGCAATGCAAACTCCCTGAGGGCAGGAAGAGATTACCATCCAATAATTAGGGAAGGGAGGTTGATATAGCCAGCCCAAAGCTCATTTAACATCCAAAAAAAAAAAAAAAAAAAAAAAAAAAACTTCAAACTAAACTTCACATTTTATACAAAAATTAACTCAAAGTGGGTCATAGATCTAAATGTATAACATAAAACTATACAAATTTCAGAAATGAAAATATTTTTTGTGACCTGGGATTAGGCAGAGAGTTCATAAACATGACACTACAAATAAGACATAAAACAAGACAAAACAAAAAATATAAACTTTATCAAAATTTAAAATGTTTGCTCTGTGAAAGACTGTTAAGAAAGTAAAAAGACGAGCTACAAGCTGGAAGATAATATGTGCAAATAACAAATCCAACAAAGGACTGCACCCAGAATATATAAAGAACTTTTAAAACTCAACAAGAAAACAAACAACCCAATTTTTTTAATGGGCAAAATATTTTAAAACACATGTCACTGAAAAGATAAATGGGTGGTAAATAAGCACATAAAATGTTGTTCAACATCATTAGCCTTTAGGGAAATGCAAATTAAAACCATTAGATACCATTACACTCGTATTAAAATTACTAAAATAAGAAATACTGAAAGTACCAAGTGCTGGCAAAGATTTGGAACAAGTGGCACTCTTATACATTGTTAATGGAAA